CTTTTGGCAGTGTGTGCCTCTCCATTCTTCCTCCAGACTCTGGGTCCTTGGTTCCCAAATGAGATGCAAAAGTTGCTTTCATTAGAAAAGAGGACTTTGGACCACTAAGCAACAGACCAGTTCTGTTTTTCTTTAGCCCAGGTAAGACGCTTCTGATTTGGGGTTTTCATGAGCTGTAAGCCATAATCATCTTACTTATTACACATCACAGCTTGAACCATCTTGCTTTGCATGTAATGATGCAAATGTCGTATTCCTCTTGTCAAGCCGCTCCTGAACAACAAACAACATCAGAAGCGTTTTACCTGGGCTAAAGAAAAACAGAACTGGTCTGTTGCTTAGTGGTCCAAAGTCCTCTTTTCTAATGAAAGCAACTTTTGCATCTCATTTGGGAACCAAGGACCCAAATGCAAGTAGGTAACCAGCACCGAGTACCACATAATATTCTACATTTTTAATAACATAAAGATATTATCCTTATTTGCATTGACTTGTCTGATAAAAATATTGGATTTTTAATTTTTACTTATGGCCAGTCAAGCTCTCTTTGCTTTTTATGTAAATGAGTATCCTCAAAAAACTTCAGATTATGTAATTACTAATGTTTATCTGTTTAACATACTCTTTACCTGTTCAGCCAGCTGTTCTTGGGCCTTCTTTAAAGGATCTTCATTTTTAGCCGATGAATCTGTTCTACCTGGATCAGCTTGTCTTTTATTCCCACTTTCTCTTCGTCTAGAATGTTTTCTTTTATACTCTAAGATTTGAAACCGTGAATTATCAGTCCTCTTGGGAGTTTCGCCATTTGATGTCTGAGGGAGAGGGGGAAAAAATGAAAATTGAGCTTGCAAGTGTAGACCAATATTTTATATTTGCAACAACTGCATTTTAATTTTCATCGCATATCTAGTATTCATGGGTCTCAAGAAAAGATGGGCCAACCGTTAATATAAGATTCCATTAGGACCAATGAAAATGGTGGATTACCTTTTCGGAATGTGGGGCAAGTTTCAAGGTCCTAAAAATATAAGAAAGCCTTATTATTAAATGTACACTGTTAAAAATCATGTACTTGTACAGCCGCTAAAACCTGTATGCCCCGTATCTGTCCGTTACAATTTCTCTCAATTCATCCCGGTCATCAAAAGGCAACATTGTTATAGGGAGAGCTTGTGACA